ACTTTTATTGAACTTTTATTGAACTTTTATTGAACTTTTATTGAACTTTTATTGAACTTTTATTAAACTTTTATTGAACTTTTATTGAACTTTTATTGAACTTTTATTGAACTTTTATTGAACTTTTATTGAACTTTTATTGAACTTTCCTATTGAACTTTTATTGAACTTTTATTGAACTTTTATTGAACTTTCCTATTGAACTTTTATTGAACTTTTATTGAACTTTCCTATTGAACTTTTATTGAACTTTTATTGAACTTTTATTGAACTTTCCTATTGAACTTTTATTGAACTTTCCTATTGAACTTTTATTGAACTTTTATTGAACTTTCCTATCGAACTTTTATTGAACTTTTATTGAACTTTCCTATTGAACTTTTATTGAACTTTCCTATTGAACTTTTATTGAACTTTTATTGAACTTTCCTATTGAACTTTTATTGAACTTTTATTGAACTTTTATTGAACTTTTATTGAACTTTTATCGAACTTTTATTGAACTTTCCTATTGAACTTTTATTGAACTTTTATTGAACTTTTATTGAACTTTTATCGAACTTTTATTGAACTTTCCTATTGAACTTTTATTGAACTTTTATTGAACTTTTATTGAACTTTCCTATTGAACTTTTATTGAACTTTTATTGAACTTTTATTGAACTTTCCTATTGAACTTTTATTGAACTTTCCTATTGAACTTTTATTGAACTTTTATTGAACTTTTATTGAACTTTTATCGAACTTTTATTGAACTTTTATTGAACTTTTATTGAATTTTTATTGAACTTTTATTGAACTTTTATTGAACTTTTATTGAACTTTTATTGAACTTTCCTATTGAACTTTTATTGAACTTTTATTGAACTTTTATTGAACTTTTATCGAACTTTTATTGAACTTTCCTATTGAACTTTTATTGAACTTTTATTGAACTTTCCTATTGAACTTTTATTGAACTTTTATTGAACTTTTATTGAACTTTTATTGAACTTTTATTGAACTTTTATTGAACTTTTATTGAACTTTTATCGAACTTTTATTGAACTTTCCTATTGAACTTTTATTGAACTTTTATTGAACTTTTATTGAACTTTTATTGAACTTTCCTATTGAACTTTTATTGAACTTTTATTGAACTTTTATTGAACTTTTATCGAACTTTTATTGAACTTTTATTGAACTTTTATTGAACTTTTATTGAACTTTTATTGAACTTTTATTGAACTTTTATTGAACTTTTATTGAACTTTTATTGAACTTTTATTGAACTTTTATTGAACTTTTATTGAACTTTTATCGAACTTTTATTGAACTTTTATTGAACTTTTATTGAACTTTCCTATTGAACTTTTATTGAACTTTTATTGAACTTTCCTATTGAACTTTTATTGAACTTTTATTGAACTTTCCTATTGAAATTTTATTGAACTTTTATTGAACTTTTATTGAACTTTCCTATTGAACTTTTATTGAACTTTCCTATTGAACTTTTATTGAACTTTTATTGAACTTTTATTGAACTTTTATCGAACTTTTATTGAACTTTCCTATTGAACTTTTATTGAACTTTTATTGAACTTTTATTGAACTTTTATTGAACTTTCCTATTGAACTTTTATTGAACTTTTATTGAACTTTTATTGAACTTTTATCGAACTTTTATTGAACTTTTATTGAACTTTTATTGAACTTTTATTGAACTTTTATTGAACTTTTATTGAACTTTTATTGAACTTTTATTGAACTTTTATTGAACTTTTATCGAACTTTTATTGAACTTTTATTGAACTTTTATTGAACTTTTATTGAACTTTTATCGAACTTTTATTGAACTTTTATTGAACTTTTATTGAACTTTCCTATTGAACTTTTATTGAACTTTCCTATTGAACTTTTATTGAACTTTTATTGAACTTTCCTATTGAACTTTTATTGAACTTTTAGTGAACTTTTATTGAACTTTCCTATTGAACTTTTATTGAACTTTCCTATTGAACTTTTATTGAACTTTTATTGAACTTTTATTGAACTTTTATTGAACTTTCCTATTGAACTTTTATTGAACTTTTATTGAACTTTTATTGAACTTTTATTGAACTTTTATTGAACTTTTATCGAACTTTTATTGAACTTTTATTGAACTTTTATTGAACTTTTATTGAACTTTTATTGAACTTTTGTTGAACTTTTATTGAACTTTTATTGAACTTTTATTGAACTTTTATCGAACTTTTATTGAACTTTTATTGAACTTTTATTGAACTTTTATTGAACTTTTATCGAACTTTTATTGAACTTTTATTGAACTTTTATTGAACTTTTATTGAACTTTTATTGAACTTTTATCGAACTTTTATTGAACTTTTATTGAACTTTTATTGAACTTTTATTGAACTTTTATTGAACTTTTATTGAACTTTTATTGAACTTTTATTGAACTTTTATTGAACTTTTATTGAACTTTTATTGAACTTTTATGGAACTTTTATCGAACTTTTATGGAACTTTTATTGAACTTTTATTGAACTTTTATTGTACTTTTATTGAACTTTTATTGAACTTTTATTGAACTTTTATTGAACTTTTATTGAACTTTTATTGAACTTTTATTGAACTTTTATTGAACTTTTATTGAACTTTTATTGAACTTTTATTGAACTTTTATTGAACTTTTATTGAACTTTTATTGAACTTTTATTGAACTTTTATTGAACTTTTATTTAACTTTTATCGAACTTTTATTGAACTTTTATTGAACTTTTATGAAAAATTGCTTTGTAAAATAATAAGTGATGAATTCCAGGTTTTTCTGGATAGTTGAAGAGTTCATAAAAAATTTAAAAGTAAATATGAAAGTCACAATTTAAAAAATGTTCTCATCTTCCTTATGCATTTAAATTTTGCTTGACATACCTTATACCTCTCAAAATTGGTATGACAATGATAAATGACATCTCATACATAAAATCAACTTATTTTTTTTAACTAACTTTCAGAGGTCTTTAAGTTTTTATTTAAAAAAATATCGATAGCTTTTTGCAAATATCGATAGCTTTTTGCTAACTAAAAAAGCTAGCAATCCTGGTGGCTAAATCGCTGTCTTTATCGGAACAATTATAACTAGCTATTTGCCAGCTGATTTCCACCGGGATATATATAACTCAACTAAAACAAAACTAATCAAACTAAAAGACTTAGTCTATTTAATTTACGCATTAAAAAACCATTTCAATCTTTGATTTAAGATTTGTACTTTTTTTTTATTTAATATGTTTCAACAGATAAACATTTATTATAAAAAATACATAATTATATAAATAAAAAAAACAACAGTTTATTAATACTTATTTTAAAAATTAGTTAGAAGTGTTTTGTTACTTCATTGAAAAGCGTTTCGATAATATAAAAGCATTTAAGAGCAAACTTATTTAATTGTAACAGCTTTCTAACTTTTTTTTTTAACAAAATTTTGTTTATCTTTTTAAATGTATTAACTTTAATTATTCTTTTATTAAAATTTGTTAAGGAGATTTTCGTAGTCGTAGAATCTCATCGTTTATAAAAAAAACAACAATTTTTTATATTTTAATAATGTTTATTATAGAAATGCGCACTTAAACAACTTATATATTAATTATTATATTATAAATTAAAAAAATATATACAATATATACAACAAAAAAAAAAAACATTATCAGTAAATTGTTACTCTATTTAAAAGCGTTTCGCTAATATAAAAACATTTGTTAAAAAGTTTTGATGTAATTAATTTTATTTTTTCAGAATATTTTTCATTTAGCACGTTTTTAAAATGTTTTTTAATTAGCCGTGGTCAAATCGGCATAGAAAAATGTAATTTGCCTGGTCATATAAAGGCGTGCAATCGCACGCCTTCCTGTGAAAGCCTTAATCAAATAAGCAGTGTAGTGCTGCTATATTAAGATTTACATTATTAAATTAAAAGTAATAATGATAAATAGTAATAAATTGCAATGAAAATGTACAAGGAAATAGAAAAGCTGTATGAATTGGAAAAAAAATGTAAGCTGAGATCTAATAAAAAAAAGAAACTTTTTATTATAAACTCGGGAAATTTTGATAATTTCTATTTTTATAGAAACTTACTTTAATATATTTAAATATATCGAGAAAAAAAGAAAAAGAGAGAAAATCTAAATGATCTTAATATAAAAAAACTTCCATTTAGAAAGTTAACTTCTAACAGGAATATTTTACATCATCAATCTTACTTGCAATCTAAACTACCTAAAACTATCAAAAAGATTAATTTAGTTATAACTAAACTGTATCTATACTTTGAAGAATGTTAAGAAACCTTGGATAATAAAAAGGTTTGATGTTGTTAGTGACACTTAACTAAAAAACATTCTCACAAAGTTAGACAAACAGTATTTTGTTCTGAAAAATAATAAAAGAAGAAGCTCTGCTAATATTTAGCAAACCAGAAAAAAACTTTAAAAACATATAAGACATAAAATATTTAGATATAATAAAAGATCCGCCAAAGATAAGTTTGAGGATTTGATGTTTTTGGAAGACTTGATTGGAATAAGAAAGTTCGTTTTTAGGACAGGATATTAAGTTTAGTAGAAAACTTTACATTTAATAATTTTAGAAGATATTTTTATTATATTATTTTTAATTATTTTAGTTAAAATTAAATTTTTTAATGCTTGCAGGCAGCAGATATTAACAGAAAGAAGAAAAAAAACAAAGAAAGTGTAATCAATGGAGAAAAATTATAAAATGAACACAGTTCTGATACAAGTTTTTATTCATTTTTTCATTCAAATTTTGAGCCTAGTGGTTAATTTTTTTAAAGAAAGTTGTGAAAAAATGAAATCTTATTTACTCAATTTTTATTACTCATACTACCTCTAAACAGAAGTCTTCTTTAAATCTTTAAATATAGAAACTTTTTAAAAGCTTACTTATAAATATTTTCAAAAATTAAAAATTAAAAACTAACTTTATACCTGAACAAGTTTGTAGACCTTAAGAAACAAATCAAATCCAAGCTTGTCTTCTAGTTCAACCCGTAATTCTTCAATATTAGAAAAAACACTGTCTGTATTAAGTGTTTTTGAGTTTATATTTTGAGGCAATATACTTTTTTCCTCATCAAAATCTTCTTCTAAAAAAAAAAACCTTTTTAGTATATATTAATTAACTTTTAAAATTTTAAATAAAAAACTTTAATACTTATAATGTATTATCATCTAAGGACCTTTTGTATAAGTAAGTACACTTCTCATAGAATCTAACAAATGCTCAAAATCATAATCTTCTTCATTTTCATTGCAAATTGTAATTTCATCATTATTTGAAAAGCTGTATAAATTAAATAAATAAAAATTATTGAAGCTTGATGCACACAGTTTTAAATGTATATCTTTTACTACTTTTATAGCAAGTTAGAATTAGACTAAGCATATTTCTATTTACTGTCTAAATTCTATTCTTCTTTATTGCTGCAAAGCAAAATAGAATTATAAACTAAATATTTTACGGAAAGCAAGAAAAAAGGTGTCAATCATTTTAAGGAGAGTTTTAAGTTATGCGCACATATTGCCAAAGCAGATTGATACTTGTGATGCACACAAAATCTTCACACTTATATAAGTAAAAAATCTAATGCTTTTACCTATAAAGTTCTAAAAATATTGAATAACTTTTGAGTTGAATAGCACATGAAACTTGAATTAGAATGTCACATGAAACTTAGACTATGATATAAATGCTTTAAACATTCATATTATTGTTAAGAGCTAAACTTATATTTCAATCGTAAACTTGCATAACAGATAAATAGATATAATCTGAAATATTTAATACACTTTAAGGTTATTTACAAATAGTGGCTAATTATAATTATAAAAATAATGTTTTATCATCATCGTGAACAACAACAACAAGAACAACAACAACAACAACAACAACAATAACAACAACAACACTATAAAAATAATAACAATGGTAATAATAATAGTAATAAAAATTTAATAATTATAACAATAAAGAAAAAAGCAAAATAAAATTAAAAAAGTAACAGCATCAAAAAAACATAACTAACAAAAAAACAAACCGAAAATAAAAATAAAAATGGATATAATCAAGAACAAAAACTAAACATCAGATGGACACATAAGAAAATTAAACAAACATATATATATATATATATATATATATATATATATATATATATATATATATATATATATATATATATATATATATATATATATATATATATATATATATTGTATAAAATTTTGTGGAGAGGCTAAATAAAATTGAATTTTACTAACATTTCAGCACTTATTTCTCTAAATCCAACATACTATATACCAGTTATAAGATTTTCATGTTTAAAAATTGTTGATTATTTAATTAAAGTTCTTCAATTGATTTAAAGAATAATGATTGTTAATTTGCTCAAACATTTGCGGCCATACAGAGGTTTTTAAGATTTTTTTCTATTTTTCAAAAATTGTGTAAACAAATACTCTGTGGAAATAATAAAAATTGCTATTGTAAACAAATACTCTGTGGAAATAATAAAAATTGCTATTGTAAACAAATACTCTGTGGAAATAATAAAAATTGCTATTGTAAACAAATACTCTGTGGAAATAATAAAAATTGCTATTGTAAAGAAATACTCTGTGGAAATAATAAAAATTGCTATTGTAAACAAATACTCTGTGGAAATAATAAAAATTGCTATTGTAAACAAGTACTCTGTGGAAATAATAAAAAGCTTCACTTATAAGTGATTGAGATCACAGAGTATAAAAAACAAATAATATCATTAGTGAAAAAGTTGATAGTAAGATCATGAGCCCTTTTCTTTTTGTCTTCTTAGATTTTTATTCACTACTGATTTTTCATGGAAAAAAATATTTTATATGTTCTTATGTTTCATATCTAAATTAAAAAGAAAAGTTTATTCAAAACAGTATTCATATGCATTTATTGTGATTCGCAGCAAATCAAATGATGTCTAAAAGCATTATTTTGACACCTTTTAGACATGAACTTTAACAATTTTTTCAAAGATTCTTTTATATAAGACACAATTAAATAATATTAGGTAGATATTGCTGGCATTTAAATTATTTTAAAAATCTGTTGTTACGAAAAAAAAAGTAAAACATTTTTGTTTTATAAAACCTTTTAGTTTTATAAATGCCTTTAGTTAAAATAATTTAAATTGTTTATTGCCTAAAAAATTTGCCTTCAGCATAAAACACACTTATACAGCAGTAACATCGTAAGATTTTATTTTTAAGATTTTTTATTAAGACAGCAGTAACATAACATCGTAAGATTTTATTTTTAAGATTTTTTATTAAGACAGCAGTAACATAACATCGTATATAGTAAGATTTTTATAAAATGTTTATTTTGAAGTTTTTAAAAACATTAAAATATTAAAATATTTGATTATACTTTTTCAAACGTATAGAAAGATTTAGTAATGAAAAAAAAGTGATGGGAAAAAAATATAATAACTTTATAAAAGTAAAAATTTTTTAAAGGGAAAGTCACTTTCCAGATAAAGGTCAAAACAGGATTGTTAATTTATCATTTGACTTTTTGATATGAAAACATTTCTATATGAATGTTTATTAAAGCACATATTTTAGGTACAGGTGTTTATTTAATTGTGCTTCTAAAGACATAATATCAAATCCTGTCATCATGTTCAAAAATAAGTTTCAAATGATAGTCTACTACCAAACTTTTTGTTTACACAGAAATAAAATTTAAAACCTTACCTAAAATAAAGATTTTCTTTCATTTAAGATACAAAATTGAAAGAAATCCAGATTGTAAACATGTACCTTTACAATTACATATACTTTAATCTGTTTAGATTCAAATAAAATAAAGTTATAGGAATGATTGTGGGAAAGTACCAATACTATTTTGCATATGATATAAGCAATACTATTTTGCATATCTATAAGCATATAAGCATATTATCTTAGGGGTTATCCATAAATTATGTCATGCAGTTTTTGACATTTTTTGACCACCTCCCCACCTCCTCATAGCGCATCCGTAACACTTTATTGACCACCCCCAATATTATGCAACAATTTTGTAACCCCATCCCCCCTAAAAATTTTTTTACCATTTTTTCAGGGAGGAAGGGGGTCTATAATTTGTCAATAATGTCTATAATTCTCTGAGCTTTTTTGAGTTAATTTTTTTTCACCCCAATAGTGTCGTGTAAAGTTGCATAAATTAAAATCGCTCACCTAAACATGATATCAATTTTAAAAATCTATTTTTCAAATATATATAATACATGCAAAATATTATTTATATATATATATATATATATATATATATATATATATATATATATATATATTATATATATATATATATATATATAATATATATATATATATATGTATATATACATATACATATATACATATATACATATATACATATATATATATATATATATATATATATATATAATATATATATATATATATATATATATATATATATATATATATATATATATATATATATATATATATATATATATATATTATATGATAAATAATAACATATTATACATTTAAAAATATTATTTTATGAATAAAATTTTCTTCGAATCAGAATCGTAAGTGTGGCCAAGTGGATTCTACCTCCGGCTAGTAAACTGCGGGTTCCAGATTCGTTTCTTGGTGGCGAAACTTTTTTTTTTTTAGTGCATAAAGATTGTTTTTTTGTTGCTGCACACTTTTGTGCACCAACTAAATAAAGTTCTGTACTTGAGCAATATAAATTCAAAACGTGCACTACACATAAAGCCATAACAGTCCATTAATAGGCTGTAACTAATCCGTTAACGGAGTGTACATCGACTAAGTAAGATTTAGTTGATTTTACAATCAACATGTAGATAAATCAACTGAGGGTTTTGGTTTAGTTAGATACTCTTTTAATTAAAAGAAAGTCTTCTCTAAAAAAAAAAAAAAATGTTGCATCACAAAATCAAGACCCCCTCCCCCTTGTAACAAATCATCACAAAATCGCCTACACCTTCTCCTTCAAGGGTGACATAATTTATGGACGACCCCTTATTATAGAGAAAAAGATTTATTCATGAGAATGATAAAATATGAAAAACTATTCAAAAAAAGCTATCAAACAGATTATTATCCATGTTTTAACAGTGTATATAATATTTTTCTCTTTATATTTACAAAAAGTAAGTTACACTTATTTCTTTGCAATCACAAAAAAAAAGCTTATTTATTTATAATTTTTAAGACAAAAATAAAAGGTTTTTGTTTTCTGCAGTACTGTTTGCAATAAAAAATAAAAGAATAAAATAAAATATAAATAAAAAAAAACAAAAAAAAAACAAAGTAACCTTAACTATAGTAGCCCCTTCTGTCTTAGAAAGGTGAATATGTAAAAAATTATTTTATTAAAACAAGTAATAATAATAAATAGTAATAAATAATAATAAATAGTTAATATTAATTTTAAAAATGATACCTTTTTTTATTGTATGATATTGCATTAGATTCAACTGGCGAATTTTTTTTTATTAAATTAGGCAATGAGCATGTTCGGAGAAGCTGAAAAAATTACCATTTTAATTAGGCTAATAAATTGAATTTGAATTGAATTGTACAAAACTAAAATCAGTAAGTGGTAATAATAATTACTATTTAATTTTTATTATTGATCAAACTAATTTATTGATATGGCTTACATGGATCTATATGAATATATAAAAATGATAACAAAATTCTCTGTACCAATACACAGTGATTTAGAAACATCTAAATTTTGGCCAAATAAATACAGTTTTTTGAGTAGAGCAATTTAAACAATGTTATAAGCTAACTATTTTTTTAAAGTTTCTTATGATTTTAACAGTATAAAAAAAAATACTGAAATAATAGATTTAAACGTTAATTTATGTTTGAAAGTGACCAAAATCTTTTTTTAATCATTAAAACTTTATTATTATTAAAACTTAATTATCTTCGTCAATACAAAACCTTTTATTTTAATTTTCATTATATACAATAACTATACAATAAACTGATTTTTAAAGAGCTAGGACTTTTTTGCTTAGACTTCCTTTACAAAGGTAATTCTTTTTTAAAAAAAAGTTTGTATCATTCTTTAAGAAACTAAAAAAGTTAGCTGCCCTAACTTGCCTCATTTTGAAATAATGTGGTTTTAAAAAGCTTATTTTATAAAAAAAAAATATGGCATAAATTACCTTTCGTTTTTATGTTTTGAGAGTTTTTCCTGAACAAAACTTTTTAATGTGAATATATAAAAAAAAAAAAAAAAAAAAAAAAAAATTGTATACATCAAACTCTTTGTCTATACACTTATAAAGGTTTATAAGACCATTCTAAGTGCTTTGTACCACGATTTACAACAACAACAACAACAACAACAACAACAACAACAACAACAACAACAACAACAACAAAAAAATGAGTAGCCTCCTTGACTGTAGTGGCCCCCTCGGGCCTTGGGGAGGTGAATAATTAAAAAAAAAAAAAAAAGTGCTTACTGTAGAAATTAAAAAAAACAGATTTTATTAAATGTTCTGAACTTTTTTTAACTTAAATATTTCCGCTGCTAAATCTAAATGAATTTTTAACTGATTTAATAGCTGTTGTTTTTCATAGACATCTGTTCTCTTTAAAAAAAGCTGTTAGCTTTGTATTAGGATATGGTGGTAATTGATTAACTAGTAGTCTATTAACAAACTTGATATCTGTTCCAAATTTTAGGAAATTTTAAAAACAATATATATTGATGTATTAAGACATTGATAATTTGAGTACTAATTGTTTGTTTTTTTGGACAAACAGATATTTTTAAAGTTTTGATTTTGAATATACCAACTTTATCTTATTTAAAATATCTACTTTTGAATATATAATACTTGAAATTGTTTTACATTTTCAATTTTAGAAAACGTAAACAATTTTAAACCAATCATTTTTTTTCTGATAAAAAACAACTAATTGAATTGTTACACTTGACAAAAAAATCTTTTGCCTAGTTTAGTTTTTATAAAATTATAAAAAAATAAGTATATATTTCATAGTAGAAAAATTTAATTTTTTAACTAAAATTAAAAAATTAAATTGTAATGTTAATTTAAACACATGACACGCTTTGGCTTCTCAGAAATACAATTTCTGTTTTTCCTCAATATAAACTTCCAACAAATGGAACAGTTCTTCGATGAAAAAAAAACAAGAATCAGCTTGAAGAATTCCTTTAATTGATATTTCTAAAAACAACCTAGAAGCAAAAATAAAATCAGATAAAGATATGCCAAGATCGAATGCCACAGTGATATAAGATTTAAAAAAGAGGTGTGATGAGTGTAAAGTTAATTTAAATATATCTAGAAGCTCAATAGCTAGAAGTAGATTCAAATGTATTGAAGATTTAGATTTTTTTTCATTCAAATTATTTATGTTAAAATAAAATATACTGATCATAAAGAGGAAAAAATCTTTTTAATTTAGGAGCCACAATCAGATCAAGCCATTATGAAGAAATGTTGCAACAAAAAATTGATCTTGCACTTTGACAGTAAGTTGATAAAAGAAATAATGGAAAAGTTAAAAATAAAAGTTAAAAAGGAAATATCTGTTACCAGTCCTAAATTTACTACAAAAGATGATTGCCTACTTGGAATTATAGCTGTAAAGGAAAATATCAATATCTATTGTTATTCAAAACATTTTGAGTATTTTGAAATAGCAGATAATGTAAAATTATAAATATTTTGAGTATTTTGAAATAGCAGATAATATAATTGGAGTCTGTACTAATACTACATCAAGTAAAGGTAGACTATATGAAGCTATAAATAGTAAAGTTTGTTTTAGTTTATGTGTTGTCATCACATATATGAACTCCATATAACTCATGCAATACAGGCTATCACAAAAGTTAAATGTAAGGCTCCAAGCAAATATATGTACTTAGCTTTCCAAAGACACTGGGAAACTTCTCATGAATCTGTAAACTCAAGAACTTCAGAACTGAAAAAATTTGATTAGCACAAGCTTGAATTAGGTAGCAATCTTTACATTATGGCGCTAAAGATTATATTATAAGTATTCATTTGAGAAGTAAATTTTTTCATGAAATGACTATAAGCATCTTGTAAAATATTTGGCTTTTTATTTTGGCATCAAATCTTAAAGCTTAAAGAATTTAAAATTCATCAACCTAGAGTCTGTCATAAAGCAAGATTTATGGTTGATGCTTTGTATATTCTTAAACTCGAAATGACATCCACTATTATAACCTATTTTCCTAATGAAAATAAAAAAGAAATAGAAATGCGTGCCTTTATTGTCACCGGTTGTTTTGCTCCATGGTAAATCAAGTCTAGAGGGGCTCAACACGCTCTATTTAATGATTGTAATGTTTTAAAAGAAACATATTTTCTCAAGAATGAATTTAATGCTGACATTGGCAACGCTTTGATTAAAAGTTTTCATAATTATTCATGGTATCTTTTTCCAGCAGTAGTTGTGTTTTCACTAGTTGACTCTCACTTGGAAATGTTTGTCAAGTATCAGATTTTGAAGTCATTAATTTCATTTCCAGTTCCAGAACTAGGAAAAATAAATATAGAAAAAACTAATCCCTCTTAATCTTCCCAAATAGCAAGCTTTAAGAGCTTGTACTGCTAATAGCTGGCTTATATTTATATGCCTAGGAAATGGTAATCAAGTCAAAGATTGGGTTCATTTTCATCCCAACTTCTCAAAAACTGAATCATATAGTGTTTTTGAAAATTTTGTTAAAAGATTTTGTGTAACTAACAACTGAGCTGAAAGAAACATTGACTTAATAAACATCAAAGCACCAAAATATACTATTGATAGCAAGAGAGGAGAGAAAAAAAGTAATTTTTATCAATCTATTTTTTCTATAAAAAAATCTTTTTGTTTTTATAATAGTTCATTGTAAAATATTTCCTTTTGGTTTAGTTTCTGATAATATTTAATATCTAGCACAATAAATTTATTTACATAATAATTACATATAAAATATTCTAGAATATTCTATTGTATCTAAACAAAAAATAATTTTTAGGCTGTGATTTTGAACCTATGAATAATTTAGGCTCTATTAGAATATGGCTGAAAATTAATATTACTAAATGCGGTAGTGGTGTAGTGGTAAGAGCGCTCGCTTTGTAAGCGAGAGGTTCGGAGTTTGACTCCCACCACGTCCCTGGAAGCTCAATTTAATTTCTCCGCGCAGTGGTCTTGCTTGTCAAGGTTCGTGTTTCGGAGTTAAAGAGTTGAGAGAGGATTGTACCACGATTTACAACAAAAAAAAAAATTTTAAAAAAAAAAAAAATAGTGAGTAGCTTCCTTGACTGTAGTGGCCCCCTCTGGCCTTGGGAAGGTGAATAATTAAAAAAAATAAAAAAATAATAAAAAAAAAAATAACATTTTAATAATAAAATGCATTACACAACATCAATATAATGTGTACTTTATTAAAGAGATCCATAACTGCCTAGACAAGTTGTGTTCATATTAAAGAAATGTTTAAAAAAAACATTTGGGCTGAATTTTTTTGATTGAAACTAAATAATAAATGCAAAATTAAAATTATAAGTTCGCTGCCTCCATTTTTTTGGGTTCTCGGAGTCTGTATAATGTTAGCCGCAGTCTGCAGACTTGATAATTTATTCAATGTGTGTTAATTCATAACAGTTTCGGTATATGACAATATCTTTTTAAGCGTATTATATAAGTATTTTTTCAACTAACACCCTATAAATAAAATTTCGGACAAATTTTAATTGCATTAATTATGTAATTTATTTCATGCATGCAAAAAACCTTTATACTTATTTGAAAGAGGATTTTATAATCTATTTAAATTTAATTTAACTAAGTTAAAAATATTATTTAAATATCGAAAATAAATTGGTTAAAGTAAAGGACCTCAAAAAAATTATGAAAATTTTTTTCCAAAAAAATTGGGAAAAAGGTAAAGCGTTTGTTGCTAAGCAGTTTATGGAATGGGGTTTACCCAGATCAACTGCTTACAATAAAATCGTAAAATTGGAGAACAAATCTCTAAAAAGAAAAGTTGGAAGTGGTCGAATCGCTAAGATAGCTACTAAAGAAAATATTTCAAAGATTGCTGCATTTTTTGAAAATAAGTCAGGGTGCACGCAAAAGAAAGTAGCTCAAGTTTTTTACTGTAGTCAAACTCGAATTTCCCAAGTGTTAAAAACTTTATTATTATCGAATTTTGATTAATTGGCTATTCAAATGTTATTCAAAAAAATGTGCGGTTGCTACAAAAAGATTTTTGTTCGGCTGGTAGCAAACAA